CTGTTAGTTGTTCAATAGGGTAGGTAACAACCTTCTTTTAGAAGCCTTTAATGCTTTTTCAATTCTAATTGGCTCAGTTACTTAGTCTGATGTTGATTCTTTCATGTTTAATTCTTCAACAGTAGTTTTAGGTGGGTTTTGAAACTTTACTGGTCTTCTTTTATTTTTTGACACAACATTTTTGGGGTAAGATCTGGACCTAGTATTTAAGTAGATTTTATATTCGTTTTCCTCATAATATTCTTCAGAAGTATATTCATCATCGTTATATTCTTCCTCACAATATTGGTCAGCCAAATGTACATCTCTAGTATCATCATAGTGAGGTCTTTTATCAGTTCTCCTTGGTTGCTAGCAAGGTTAAGGACAATATCTAGCTATATGTCCTTCTCTATTACAATTGTAACAAGTCATAGAAGACATATTTTATCTGAGTCTTCTAGTAGTATCATTATAGGTTCATTCTATTCGTCTCCTTAGTAGTTGTTGGGTTGAGCTAACAAAGCAGTCGTCAAATTAGTATAATTAATAGATAACTGTTTCAATTTCTTAATGAGTTCATCCACTTCAGTATTAGTAACCACGTTTTTGGGAGTAGAAACTGTAGTAATACTAATATCTTTAGGGCTTTTCCAGAGGTGAAATTATATCTAATTTCGATAGTTCGTGCAGAGGTTACAATAGCGTCTAAATCAGCTGGATTTTGTGAGTAGAATAGTGGAGTGTAAGCAGAATTTAGTTCTATAAGAAACATCCTTTTCTTCTGTGCATCATCTGTTAATCCTACACAAGTCACTAGTTTCTTGAACTTATTAGCATAGGAATTCACAGATTCATCTGTTTGTTATCGTAAAGAAGTTAATTCTTGATACCATTAATTTTTCTTAGTTTCGCTAATAAAACGAGCTTCAAATAAATCCACAAAATTTTGTCCACCATTGCTTTCAGTATTCCAATTGTCTCCCATAGCAGTAGTAACACTATCAAACCAGTCAGCTGCTGCACCCTTAAGATGTCCTTCAACGAGGGCTTTCTTTTGAGCTTCAGTAGTCCATCTGTTGGTAATGGCAGCTCTTTCGAATGCAGTAAGCCATTTTACAGAGTCTTCATTTTCAGCTTCTGAAAAATAGTCAACTTTAATAGTGGATCTTTCTTCTCCTTAAGCTAGACGAAGTCATTCACTAATGTCTATTAAATGTTATCTATCATTTTCAAAAATCTCTTGAAAGATGGCTTTCATTTCAGCTTCTGTAACCATTGTTTTAGTTTCAACTGGAGGTGAGTTAGGGGATGAGTTTGATAAGCTAGATGCAGAAGGTGTTGAAAAAGCAACAAGGCGTTGTAATAATTGTTGATCTGCTATAGGCCTTACTAGATCTTGTTCTAAGATTTCAGTATATACTCTTGAAGAAATAGATAAGGTAATAGGTTGTTGAAAGCAATTTATTTGAAATGATATGCCTTGTATATACAAATATATTACGTCTGCTAAAAAAGGTTGAATACGATATCGAATGCTAGAAAGGAGCTGGTAGATTACTCTTATTAGGCAAGAGTTACGATGTTTAGATTCAGGAGTATCACTAAGTTGTTCAAATAAGTTAAAGGCAATGATAGTTCTAGAAGTAAAAGTATCTGCTTGATATTCACGTTTAAACTAATTCTAGAAATTATTAAAGTTATTGGAAAGAGTTTTGATTGGAGGGGGTGGATAACACCAATGACAAGTATAATCTTGATTAAGAGGTCTGTCTAAAAAATGCCTAACTATATGCTCTGATATAGTTCTCTCAAGTTCCTCAAAATTCATACACCTTACTAGTCCTTTAACAATTCGTTGTGTATATTTTCAATAAAGATTTTCCTGGCAGAAATCACCACTTGTTAAGCCTAAACACTACGTCATTAGGATAACAAAGCTTATTTGCTAACAGGGAGTTTAAGTTATAAATTATGAAAGAAATAAACATGAATTTATTTAAGTTGAAGGGTCAGGTCATCTTTATTGA